GTTTTGATCCTCGTGGTCCCAACAGCGGAAGGGTACCACGTGCACGGGTAAGACTTTTACGAGATCACCGAGTGTTCAACACTCGGCTGGAAGAAATAAAAGGGAGGCAATTCAAGCACTCCCAGTCGTGCAAATAGGCAACAATAAGCCGTCACGTAAAATCTCCCGATAATAATCGGCCAATACACAAAGTCTCTTGGCCTTGTCGGATAAACCCTCGCTACAGAGCTTCGAGTTCACCGACAGGCATAACACACTCAAACAAGCTTGACCTGACGCTTACCTTGAAGCCGGACGTCGCTCTGTGTGCTTGAGTGGAAATTCTGTTCTGTATTTAAGCTTACCCTTTCGGGTCTATTCCTAATAAGAAGTCCTAATCAAGTATACAAATATCAAGTGAACAATGATCCGTTATGGATCTTCTTGCATGCCAAGCGTCGTCTGCACCGTCGCATGAGCATCTTTAACGGTCCGCGCCCTGTCCCAGACGGTGAACGTGCCTTCCAAGGGTCGCTGAGTCTTCTGTGAACTCATCCCTGGCACCTTGGCGTCTCCGTACATCACCTGACCGAGGGTTCGTCGCTTGAACATCTTGGGCGGTGTCACGTCTTTGTCGACGGGTGATAATCCGCAACTACGGAGAAATCACTACATCACAGTACCCATAATAGGGTGACCATAATGATTACGTCATGGATCCGGTGGATCTGAAGATAACACAGCTGGGATGATGGGTCAAGGGAAGAAGGGACATGCGGCCGAGCCTGGTAAGGGATTTAGCAGGTGAAAGACATAGAAGGTAGAAATCCAGGCAGGTATAGGCTTAAATATCAATACAGACTTCTATTTGCACGATAACACGCAAGTGCCTTCCTACCCTCAAGAACCGGAGCTACATTGGCCGTACGAGCTCGGAGAAGGTTGGGAATTGCGAACCTAGTGTTGGTAGTGATAACTGGATAATACATTGGCCAGATCCTACAACCTAGTGAGCTTTTCCTATACACGTGCAGATCCAGCAGGTTAACCGAATTACTACTTGGTCGGTTACACCCTAGAAGATCTCAACTCTCAAGATCCCGTCACAGGAGGCGGCAAGTACGACGCAAAGGAACTAAAAAGGCAAGGGAGCACACCCGCGAGGCAACCCTACGGCCAGATCCACGATCTAGGGCCCGGATCCATAAGCTCGAATATTCGCTTAGGATTCGGAACAACCCACGGACGCAGAGTGAAGATTTTTCACTGCTGCTCCATCCCATCCCCACGTCTCGCCAAGACACTCAAGCTTCACCACTTGAGCTCTTCGGAAGTTACCAAGAGAGCAAGATCCCGCCCTATCGACGGGTACACAAGGTGAGGAAAGTTCAGCAGAACACGGATCATCGGGGGACCCCTCCGTTAGTCGGTGTCTGGGCGCTGTTGGTAAGTTGGATCTAGCAATCTCGCAGATTTTGCTGATCCCGCTACACCACATCACCGATGTCTTGACCAACCAGAGAGCGAGACTCAAGCTGGATACTGGTCGGTCATTACGTTGTGGTATGTCAAACACCGCCTCGCCTGAGTGACTCGGTCACTTTCCTGCGTTCCTCTCTCAGCGAACAGAATTTCAAAAACACTGCTGAAAACGGCGTGCACCACTCGGGGCGGGGCGACGTAGCTATGGCGCCAACTAAGGCGAGCGGGTGCGAGGTCGCATAACCGCAGCAAACCCGCGTGGGGAGCTCGCGAAGCAGTGTCGCGAGGTATTTGCGGAGGCGGGCCCAGCGCCGAGCTCACCAGTGAGCCGCGTATTGCACTCTCCAGGTGAGAGAATCTTTTAATTGCGAGCGAAGCGAGCTTCAGCCAAGCCAAGCGCGACTCGTAACAACCTCCAACACTATATTAGGCCTTTCCGCAGCAGAGCTGGGCAACCCCTCCCGCCTGCTCATACAAACATCAAGCTAAAACAAAGATTTGGTGCTATTATGCAAAAGTGGTTTTCTTACACGTTGTCATATCAAGCGCATCAGCGCTTCGTCACTCATTTCACCAAACGGGAGCGGCAACAGCAGTGGCGAGAGCGCCTTGATTCTTGGACGTATCCCGACACCATACTCATAAGCGTGGTAAGTGTAGCTCTGAAATAAAATTCAAAGAATATGGGTCGGAAAAGAATACTTGTACTAAGTAAAAATTCTACATCGTAGTTTTTAGCCCCCATATTAAATGTTTCGTGTTTATTAATACATGTACAGTAATTGTATTCGTACTTTACATGCTATTGTCTCGGGTACCATTCAGTTAAAACTACCATGATCACTACGCGCAAGAGTGGCGTCACCGCCACGGACGCCGTGCCGGCCGGAGTGGAACCAGAGCTGCAGCGACTCATTGCAGCCGTACTGGAGACGCTACAGCTACCAACGGACGTGTATGAATCAGCTGAAGCCTCAGAACCCGAAATCTTTGCTCGAAATCACAAGCTTGGACTGAACAAACTGAAGCGGATGCCCAGGTTGCAGCCCCCAGGGAGCGTTTGCAGCTGGGACTTGGCACTCCGACTATTTTTTAGCTGTAGGAAAGCGGGGGTCGTTGCCGTGCATGCTAAAACTGAGTCGACAATAAACGATATTTCGACCGTCGACAATCCACGAAAAATGGCGGAACTGTGCGTCGACGCACTCAAGAGGGAGCTGAGTCGAGAATTTTATTGCCATGTAGTTCGTGTCTGGCTACCCGAGGAGAAGGACACTGTTTTAGGCGCAATATCCGATCGGATTTTGGTGCAGACCCGCGAGTTCGCTCAGTGCAGTCGAAGGGACGCAATCGACATGGAGCTTACGGCTCAACTACCGTTGAAGATCCTCTTTCGCGATGACGCGGTTATTGTGGTGAACAAACCAGCCAATATCTTAAGTGTGGATGGCACCGACCCTGACGCATTGATGTCGGTTCATCGCTGCGTTGCCCGTGTGTATCCGAACGCACGGATGGTGCATCGTCTGGATCAAGAGACGTCGGGGCTACTCGTGGTTGCTCTGACCAAGTCTGCAGCACAGAGTTTAAACGCCCAATTTCGAGATCGATCTGTTGACAAAACATACGTAGCGCGCGTGGATGGGTGGATGATGAACGATCTGGAAGAGAAATCTGAGTCGCCGCGGCGAGTGCAAATCCCTATGGAGAAGCACCTGACCAAATCACTTATCCAACACGTTGTTTCTGACCGCGAGGTTGATCCATCTAGCTCACTTTGGTCAACCACTGAATATTCTGTGCTGTCTCGAGATGAAAGTGGTGATGATCGAAAGTCTACGCTGGTAGAACTCAAACCAGTTACCGGCAAAACACACCAGCTACGTCTGCACATGCAGCATCTCGGACATCCAATCTTGGGTGACTCGCTGTATTCTCCAGACGTGGTGTATCACCGTGCATCGCGTCTTTGTTTGCATGCTGCTAAGCTGTCCTTCACACACCCTGTCACAAATGAGCGTTTGACCTTTGAGAGTCCTTGCCCGCTGACATTTAAACCAAGGAGGACTTGCATCGCGAGTCAGCGGCCAGAAGTTGCTGGAAAATATATAGGCGGCAGATAGCCTACCTAAAGAATGTTGAGAATGTGCAGAGGCACCGGGAAAGTTAACCGTTTGGTACTGTCGAGACGTACCATCGAGATTGTTGGTATCGGCAACGTGCCTGGAAGCCCACCGTTGCGGGTTTTTGAGATCTGATAACATTGAAAGCATGTCTGTTCAAACGTGAATTTAAACAAAGTCTGGAGTAGCGGACAGACTTCGAAGCGCTCCTACATTGTGAGGTTCAGTGTGAAGAACATGCTCATTTCACAAAATACTTTTGTCCGGACGCGTGGCAAGAGTTTCGATGTGCACTAGTCTTCCTGCTTGCGTTGTGCGCATTCGGTGGCTATAGTGATGCAGAACGGATGGCTTCAGGTAATGCTGCGATCGAGGTTCTCCCTGCTGACTCGACGGAGCCTGCCTTCAGTTTTGGTACACCTTATTCGGCTCCGGGCTCCCTGCCGACACGGTCAGGCAGTCTCCGTGCTTTTTTTTAAGCCTGCAGCACGTACGTCTGGCGCGGTCGTGACGCGCGACCTTAAGTCGTGCAATCTGGCAGTGCCTGTCGACTTCCAAAGCGTAAGTTGGTCCTAGCTGAGCGCTATCCAGGCAACAAATTGCGTCGTCGTCGTCTCTCTCTCTCTCTTTTGCTAGGGGGCATCTTCCGCGTGGACTATAATACCGTGGTAATGCATTCTTGCCTAATCAGAGCGGATCGCACGGACAGTTCGATGCAGAATACTATTTTGCCGGACAACGTGGCCCCGTCTCGTCCGACAAGTACCCCCAAGGCACAGATAAGGATCTCTTTAGCTTGCATGAGGTTGGGGTCAGTCCTTTTGTGTGGACTCCATGTGAAGCGTCAACTAACTTCCGAGTCAACAGTGCGATCACAGCAGTGAAGACAGCGAGCGCGAAGGAAGAAACACATATTGCAATTGACTCGGTCGACAGCACGGTATAGGCTGGATTCTACTACTACATCACGACTCGGAAATGCTAGTGCAGGTAGACTCAGAATGAATCGACATCTGGTTCAGAATGCTATCGCTTTTCAAACGCGAAATGTGATCAACACTTTACACTGCAGCGATCTTCCATCTGTGCAGTTGGCAAGCTGCAGGTGGTCAACTCTCTGTTGACGTTGCGCCCCATGGACGTCGCTTACCGGTAGACAGACGTATCTAGCATTACGTTTCAGGTTGACCAAGTGAGCGCCTTGCTCACGGATCCGACATGCAGAAGAAATTCCATAATATTCTCTGAAATTTCTAGAGTATCTCTGGTACGTAGCCCTAATTGTACCCTAGTTACATGAAGTGTGACACGTCATACTTCGGGAAATTGGTACAAGGTACCAAGGTCGTCCAAAGCCAACCATTGGCTGATGACATTGCTTTCCTATAGGTGACTTATAGTTTGTATTTAGCTCAAGCTTTATCTACCTATAAATATATTCAGTTTACATTCTACCTTAAATTGGTCACTTCGCTCCCTTTACGCAAGGGGGACCTGTGAATTGCCGTTATCTGAGAGTTTGTATACTCTCGGAGGCCAACTTCCTCTAGCGCAAGGTGCTGTGTGACCCCCTCACACTTGGTAGCACTCGTAGCCAATCCACGCCACCGCGGGTAGACTACCTGAACCTCTCCGAAGTTCGTTGCCATGGATAGGAACGACTTCTCCCATATGAACGACTCACAGTTCGAGTCGGTTCGGAAGATGGCAGGCATCTACGGGATGGAGGCCCTGCAGAGCCTGGTGGTGTCAACACCGGCCGAGTAGCTCGAGCGCGTCAATGCGTTTGACGCGTACGAGCAGGGGCTCATCGCACATAAGCGGAAGAACTTGCCGGCTCCGACGGCGGAAGCAAATCCGCCACACCCGAAGCCAATACGGCTGAAGGCTAAGCCGTATGAAGGGAAGGAAGATGAGAACCTTTACTTCTGGGTCCGAGAAGTAGAGCTCGCAATGGACGCGGCTCTGATCTCGACCGAACAACCTTGTGTTGCTTTTGCACTCTTCAGCCTTTAGCGGTGGTGCTAAGCGTTGGGTGTACACGCGGGAGGCAACATCCCCTGGATGTTTCACATCCCGGGCTCAGCTGTGTGAACATCTCCGAGCCGCGTTCCTCCCGGCGAACTACGAGTACCGCCAGCGCTCGCGCTTTCTCTCGGGCTAAAAAGGGAGGCGTGAGCTGCACGAGTACGTCCAAGAGATACGGGAGCTCACGGCGTCCCTAGTGGGAAGCCCACTCAACGAACACATCAAGGTGACTGTGTTCATGGACGGCCTTCGAGTGGGCCCCGCGCGCACTCAGCTGTTCCGGGTGCGGTCAAGCACCCTTGAAGAGGCTATGTAAGTGGCTCTTCAGGAAGAACACAGCCATCGCCAGGTGCGTACGCCGGCCTCAGCATGGCCTGGGAGTTCTTTGTCGACCCCCTGAAATGGGCCCAACTCCAATTACATAAGTAGGTAGATATTTCTTTAGCTATTACATAAGTAGGTAAAGTGGCACACGGGTAGCGTGTGCCAAGGTGTCATCATCTGATTGGTTGATAGTGAGGAGCCAGACTCACTTATTGACCAATCAGATATAGACATGTGTTTGAGTGGTTCACACGAGGCCAGGGATAGCCGCCCTGGTCCTAAATAAATCAGAGTTGAATTTGACACAAACCTAAGACTTGGTTTTACTATTGCGAGCTTCCTCCACACTATAGTGTAAGCTAGTGACGGTATCTCTTACCCCGTTACACCTGGTAGCACTTTGTAGTCCTTCCAACGACCAAGTCTACGATGAGCCAAGTCCAGATCTCCGAGGCGACACTGGAGCATGCTGCATTCCCCCATCTCACTCGCGTGGACGGGGAGGCGCTTCACCGCCTCGTGGCGGTGTCCGGAGACGCTGGTGTCGCATCGCTGCTGAGCTCAGCGACGCCCGACCAGCAACGTCTTGCAGCACAAGCGTTCATGGAACGCGAGCTCGCCGATGCGAATCGGCGGGTGTCAACTCCCTCGCGTCCATCCCAGAATGACGTCGTCAAGATGGAGACGTCTACGTATTCTGGCGCCGGTGAAAACCGGCTCCCGCTAAACCGGTGGTTCCGCGAGATCGACATCGCTATCGCCTCGCGACGCATCGAGGCGTCATCCGCCAAGATGAACTTCCTCCTCTCCCGGTTAATCGGGAAGGCCAAAGAATGGGCCCTCGGGAAGCTGGTTGTCGACCCCGAGGCTTTCCCGACTCTGGAAACTCTCCAGAGCGACTTGCGCCTCGCGTTCGAGCCCCCGCAAGATGAGTCTCGCGTTCGCGCAGAATTCTTCGCACTTCGGCAAGGGCAGATGTGCATGCGTGATTACGTCCAGAAGACGCGACATCTGGCGTCATGCATCGTGACCAAGCCAATCGACATGGCCTCGCAAGTCCACGTATTTGTGTTCGGCATGCGCGAGGGTATGACCCGCTACTGCCTCACCAGAGCTGAGCCCTCCTCTCTCGAGGAGGCGTTTGCACTCGCGATTCGCGAGGATTACATGGTCGCTGCATCGTACGCCGCAGCCATACCTGCGGAAGCCCGAGAGTCTACCCCGAGCCCATGGAGATCGACGCCATCAACGCGTCGAGTGATCGACGTAGCGGGTTCTACCGCG